TATATGTATTTATACCACCACACACACACACACACACACACACACACACACACACACACACACACACACACACACATATATATATATATATATATATTATATATATATATTATATATATTATAATATATATATATTATAATACACACACACACAACACACACGCACACACACACAACACACACAACACACACACACACACACACACACACACACACACACACACACACACACACACACACACACACACACATATTATATATTTAATATATATTATATATATATAATATATATTATATATATATATATATATATAAATAATATAATACACATATATTCATATATCATATATATAATTATGCACTATATATATATATATATATATATATATATTATATTATATATATAACATACACACAACACACACACACACACACACACACACACACACACACACATATATATATATATTATATATATATATATATTATATATATATATATATATATATATATATATATATATATATATATATATATATTATATATATATATATATATAATATATATAAATTATATACATATATTATATATATATATATATATATAATAATATATATATTATATATACATATATATATCTATATATATATATATAATATATTATATATATATATATATATATTATATATATATGTGTTGTGTGTGTGTGTGTATATATATATATATATATATATATATATATATATTATATATAATATAATATATATATATATATTATATATATATATTATATATTATATTTAATATATTATATATATATATGATATATATAATATATAATTATATATTATAATATATATATAATATATATATAATAATATATATATAATATATATATATATATATATATAATATATATATATACATATATATATATATATATATATATATATATATATATATATATATGTATATATATATATATATATATATAATATATATATGTAATGTTATGTATATATATATATATAAATACACATAGAAATGTATAGATAGATAGATAGATATAGATATAGATATCACTACATATAAAGAAAAAATACATACATATATATATTTTTTAATGAGAAAGTAAAGCATGACAGAGAACAACAGGTGAGAGCTACAACCAAAGAGGAAGAGAGAATCTGAATAACGCTGAAGAAAGAGAATTGATGAAAGAAGTAGTGCAGATCAAGGGAAACTAAAAAAAGAAGAAAGGAACATAGACATAGGGAGAGGAAGATGAAAGCAGAGAAATATGTCATGATCATAACGAAATATAGCAACAATATTATTATATAACTGAAACAGATAAATGAAAGACAACATGGAATTTGAGAAGAATACATGAGACCGTAAATAATGGATTAAAAAAGACAAAAAAAGAGAGAAATACATTAAACTATGAAAAAAAAAACTAAAAAAATTAGAGAAAAGGAAGACCTTAGAAAAGAAAAAAAAAAAAAAAAATCAACAGATAAACAGAGAACAATAATTGCAAGAGATAAGAAAATTAAGTTGACAAAGAGAATGGCAGTAGAAAGGGAATAAATAAATAAATAAATAAAACATAAAAGAACTTGTAATGTAGAGCAAATCAGAATCAGACAAACAAAAAAGACGAAAACTTTAGCATCGAGACAGAATTAGAATCAGAACATAGAAAACTTCACAGAGAAAGAGAATTAAAAAGATAAAGCAACACAAAAAAAAACAAACAGAAATAATAACTGAGAGAATCAGATAAGAAATTGTATTCATACGCTGATGACAGGGAAAACAAGGGAAAGAAATAAAACAAAAATTGCGACATAGAAAGCTTTGACAAAATTTTGGATAAATCAGGAGAAATGAAAGAAAACCAAGGAACAGATGGGATATTCAAACATAATCAATCCTTTTCTTAAGTCTTCCATTTAGCGCATTTATTTCACATCACTTTAATTCGATATAAAAAATTATCACTGTTGGCTGTAATATATGATACTGTTACACCATGTATATACTTTTATTTCACAATCATTAACAGATTAATCATTATAACTATTCGCATTTTCACCTTGAAACTGTAAAAATATTTATTTACATATATTCACCTATATACGTTTTCTAAGTTTGTCACTTTATTTAAGTTTATGGATTACCATTCACAGATATATTCATTCCAAAACTAATAAAAAATTTAGTATAATCATCAGCGGTCTGAGATGTACATGTACAGTTGAGTGCAGGAGTTCCGTGAATATACTCAAACAAATTTGCTGGTAACACAAAAATAACAAATCATAACAGTTCCTTATTTGATAGAAAACGTAATGAGTAATTGTAAAAAGTACATTTCTTAGCAATTTTATCATAGTGTTACACTACAAACCTGTTAGTGGTGAGAGCTAGTCATAGTATAGTTAACATTTCTACAGAATAAAAATATGAAGTATGCTAAAATAAGAGAAAAGAAAAAAATACATTCAATATATTTCTTCTTAATTAAGATTTACAGAAAGAATTTGTTTGGTCTACATATATTCTACATTTTAGGTCATAAATTAAATAATATGAAATCATGTCTCACAATGCCCAAAGGACCCACAACCAAACCTCACCTTGATATCAACGCACATACATGCAAACAAAAACAGAAAGGCAGATAAAATATTATAAAGTTTCCAAGATATTGTTTTTTTAATTCATCTAAGACTTCAAAGTTGACAACTTAATTTTGCAGTGATTATTGAGGATACAAAAAATTTATTTCTCTTATATAATCTTACAAGTTAGTAAAAAAAAGCTGAATCTACTAATAGAAAGAGAATAAGCACATTTGAGCTTGCTTCTTAACCAAGGTACAGACAAAATGAAAGTTAAGAAATAACATGAAGAGTTCTAATATACTGATTATTTTTATGCCGAGATTTCTAAACAGAACATATATATAAAAGATGGATAATCATAAATTATATACAGACATAGACCTTCATATAAAAGAATCAAACAGAAAAATATGTTATATAACTGTCTAATCCCAGTAGTCATTAGGGCAAGTAAAGTAGTTCATCTTAAAAGAAAAGGATGCAAGAAAAAAAAGTAATATTCATTTTGGTCATCCTAAAAAATATATATTTACTGCATTAGATCTGTCAAAAAAAATCAAAACAAACAGGTTAATCTTGTATCTTGCTTTCATTCTAGATCCCAAAATACTTGAGGGAGTTAAAGCATCACACTTGAATGCGGTTTCCGATCAAATATCTTGCAGGTGTCCCGTGATTTCAGTATTTGCGTTGAACTGGCAAACATTTCATTGAATCTCCCTCTCTGGTTACTTGTGTAAAACTGGTATCTTGTTAAATCAATGGTTCTGCAGTACACAGTAAAATTAGTTTTATACTCGTATATAATATCAAAAACATATGCGACAAGTAATATGTGACAATAATCCTGCATACTCTATGTATCTTAAAAGCAAAAAAAAAAACAAAACATTCCTGATCTGTGCACGAAAAGCAATATACGTATTAGTGCCAGTACCTTCAATATACTCATATGATGAACCAGTATTGTGCGTTTCTGATACTAAACAAACCAGTGTGAGATATACTTAGCTATATTAAATACATACCAAAACAAATACAAACCAGTTACCACAGGAACAGCAATCGGACCTCTGATATGAATCAAAATTCACGTTAACTTTCTTCCTAACTCTTAACACCACACCTTACTAGGGGTTATTTTGGACTCACTTGACTGTCTAATTAGCTAATAACAGAATCTGACATCTGTGAATTCTTAATTTTGACATAATTATGCCACTTTGCATATAAGAGGTAATAAAATTATTCTAATGATACTTTCAGCCAAACGCATGAGCATATAAACCACTGAAATAACCACTTTCTAACAGGATCAATTATCAACATAAGCTAGGAAGTTAATAATCTTCAAGACATCAGGTATTCACACCTCCACCAAAGATAAAGAAGAAACTTGACACGATCTGATTAGAAATACCCTCTCATCGCCTCCCTAGACTAGCAACCAAACGGACACGAAATAATCTTTGAAATGGAGCTAATAATTAGACAAAAGAGATAAAGGGATAATCTAAGAAAGGGTTTAACATCAAACTACTTAGGGAATGTCATATTACTGAATTTATAGATGTACATTAACTTGAGAACATCCACTGACCTGGTCTCCAATCCTTAGTTTTTGTCTTTGAAGTAATTAAGCAATAATTAAAAGGTAAGCAATAGGAAAATTATTCAACAATTCTCCCTCTCTTGTACTTAGGTTACCAATACGTTCAACAATAACGAACCTTGTTTACATTTTGCAAAAGGATTCAGTATTACCAAAAGAGATTTGATATCACCTACCGCAAACGTCATGTAAACTATAAGTGATTCAATACTAAAGCGAACAATATCTCTTTTCGTCTATGGTTCTCTTTTTCACAGAAAATGGGAAATTTCTCTCGCAAATCTGCGACAATTAGATCGAAATAAGTTTATTTTCTCGTAGTAATACTTGTTCATTCTTACATATTTATAATACTGTAATATTAATTTGTTATATTTTCACTCAATGTGACACTCATCTGTCCCGAGTGATAACACCTTGACGAATTCAGGATATAAACTATTAGAGCTTACAGTCTTCCTAAATCTTCTTTACTGTGTAAATTTGACGAGTTTATCAAATATCTTAAATATTTACAATAAGAGAGCAGGATTTGATTTTATTTCATTATTGATTATGAAAAGTTTGGGAACATCTGCTTCCATTGTTATAAGTAAAAGATTCGGTAGATTATCGATACTACGTTTTGAAACAAATGCGCATCGGTACTTTCGAATACTCTTTAGACCTCTTTCGATACTCTTATAAAGACACCGAATCTTACTTTATTTCCAAACTGAATCCTGTCCGCTGGAAGAGTCTCAGTGTCTATTACCGAATCCAAACAAGAAGGAGTGACATGGAATTTCTTTGCGATTTTTAAGTGAAATTCGTTGCGATTTTTTTAGGAATGTTGTAATCATGTCGAGCTTAAAGTTAGGTAAGTCAAAGACAGTGATTTAATATTCGGATGAGCAAAATATAGCGTGAATGGAGCTTGTCTAAGGCTTATTAGTAAGACCGTGGGAAGATGCTGGTGTTTTTGTTGTCAGATGTTGTTGTTAGAGTTTTGTTGTCACTCTCGATCTCGGAATATTTACGCTTATTAAGGCTTGATAGTCCTATTCTGTTTTGCTGTTCTCACCTCCCTTTTATTTTCTCTCTGTCGGTTTATTGTCGTGGTATGGGAGTGTCAATTTTAGGGACTTTTTTATGAAAGAAGTGTCTTGTGTTTTCTCTCTCGTGTTTTCACGTTCTCAGTGATTTAGTAATTTGTAAACAAACTGTGTAGTACATACTGCTTAGTCGTTTATGCTAGTATTGTGAAGTTCCTCGTAGTTCGACTTATTTCATTTACGTTTGACAGGTCAAGTATGACTCATAGTTTGCCTCCTGTGTACATTACATTCCTGATATTTGCATTGATGAGCCGTTATTTCTCTTTGTAGAGCATTTTTTAGATTACCTCTTTTAAGGAGAGTCATTTGTATTAACTGGGCAGCTTTGGCCTACACGTGATGGTATGTAGATATGATTTCTATACTTATTTTGGTCCTTTGATTAGACTGTTTGCTAAATGTGATTTTGGTACTTTGATATCGAAATACAAAGAAACTGACGAAAGAAATGTATTGCCAGACATGGGATGTTCTCTTCATTTTACAGCAGAATTTGGAATTTGTGTTAGTGATGAGGAGCAGAAAAAATATTCAGATACCCATCAGTATGTGTCTGTTATTATTAGCAAAATGCTAATGATATCTTTAGTTTTACTGCCTGTATCACATTTTGAATACATATTCAGTTAAAACTTAGTGTGATCTGGTTTACAGTATGAAGTCTGGCACATAATAAGGTATGCTCAAGCTGTTGATATGATTTTTAGTCTCCAATAAAGGCTGGTAAACCTCTGTCTTATATATTTGCAAAAGATAGAGCTTAGACTCTTTCTTTTTTAGACATCAACTTGCCAGGGAGATGAATGAGTTTTGTTTTGCCCATATACAAGTAGTAAACATTGGTTGGCCTTTTCCTGAGTGCCAAAAGAGCATTGATGGAGTTGATGTCTTTATAAATTTGTCTAATGTTTCTTGATTGGAATGAACATCCTTTATTTTTATTTTGTCGTCACTTTCTAATTTTAAATCAATGTTAATATAGGAAAGTGGTTATTTTCTCTCAGATATTCTTGTCATCAATGGGGCTAGTTTTTTCTGTGAAAAGTAATTATTTTAGCTTTAGTCAGTTTTCTTAAGATAAATAGAGTGCTTCACGTTTGGTAATTGTGTTGAAGACACTCGCGCCTTCAGCATAGCCCTCCACCCTTTGGCACTTAGGCAAAAACTAACAAACCTTCACTATGTATAATCTGGCAAAATATAACTTGCAGACCTCTATTATATTCAAGAATGGATGAGTCCAAGCTCTGTCTTACCAGGGTATGGAATGGTGGAGGTTTGTTGGTCTTTGCTGGAGGAACAATGGCATGGAGGCCGTGACCTTACACTGTACCAATATGAAAAAGAGCTTCAGATTGTATGGATAACTGTACTAAACTGAGACAAGTATTTAAGCCCAAGGTTATATATGCGAGAAAATGAATATTTTTAAATATTACCTTCTCTGAAAGAAAAAGAATATCTGCATAGTTACTTTCGCAGTAGGATGTATGTATCAGTATAAACCACAATAAGTTCAAGATTAAAAAGTTAGAAATCAATCAGTTAGATACTATTATAAGGAAGAATATCAAACTTCTACTTCTAAAAAATAGATAATCTTACTAAACAACCACTAAAAGATTTATGAAACATGATTTGCTATAAAATGATTGAAAGAAATGCCACAAGCATCATCGTTGTTCTATTTGTTATTATACAGATATCATATTTTTCCAAATAATGTAAGCTCTTCAAGATAGGCTGATCTACAAGATCCATTGCACAGTGTTCCTTCAGAAAGTCTAGACATTTTTTCCTTTATTAGAGGCTACATCATCCTTAAATAAAAATGAGGGTGAAAGGACGTAATGTGTTTACGGGAAAATTATCAGTTGAGACTCAACTTTGCACTTTGCATATGCCTCAGGTCTGGCACTGCTTTTGATTCAAGGAGCAATTACATTTTGCACGATCATTTTGCTGGATGTTGTATTTTCTTATTAGTTCATTATGATTATTGGCTCTGAGCAGCTTAGGGTCTCGTTTCCATGAATTGTTGCGGCCAGATAAGTGTGAGAGACATTTTTGAGGAAGTAAGTTAGAAGGAACAAATAAAAGAAAACAATTTATTAGTCAGTGTCACCATTAAGTGGGAATTCCTAGGCAGAGTTAAAGGGTTAAAGTACCAGCTGTTGAAGGGAGAGTCATTGTAGGAGTGTACTATGCATATATTATTATGAAGATGTGTAACTACTTGTAGAGTGTGTAGCATACTTCTTTTTCCTCTTATTTCTTTTAAGTTCACTGTTGCTACTCTTCCTTATTTGTTTTGTTTGTGATCTTCATCTCCTTTTTTTCCTCATCTTCTTCTCCATGTTTTGCTTTATCATCATCTCCTTCATCTTTGTCTAGTTTGTGATTTTATTATTCTTTTCTTCTCCTTCTCCCTTTCTTCTTCATCCTCTTCCTCTTTCTTGTTTGTTTACATTTCCTCCTCTTCTTTGTCTTCAGCTTTGTCTCACTCATGTAGGTAAATTAAGTAGTATATCATCATTGCATTGTTTTTCTTCTTTATACTGAAAAAAAAAAAAAATGTTAATCTTCATTAAGTCAGACAAGGGGAATCCCAGTTAATGTAGTAGTTGTTTTTTATGGATTTATCTTTTTTATTTTGTGTGTCAGTAATGTTGGATAGTAATTTTTATTTGTATGCATTTTACTATTAACAAATAGATTTGTTATTTTTTCTCAGTGTACCTTTTTTGACATTTCAGATTTTATCGAACACCAATACGTTTTTTGCTTAACACGTTTTTTGTTTTTTCTCTCTTCCTCTGCCCTACCCTTGCCCTGGCTTTGCCTTTGGCCATGGCAGGCAAGTCAGTAGGGGAGGACTGCTGGGTGACGGCCAAGTATGACTACACGGCCCAGGGCAGCCATGAGCTGGACCTCCGCAAGAATGAGCGCTTGCTCCTACTTGATGACTCAAAGCACTGGTGGCGGGTCATGAACAACCGCAACCAGGCTGGTTACGTCCCCTCCAACTACGTCAAGAAAGAGAAGCCATCCATATTCGATAGGTGAGTGTGTGGTTTTCTGCTGCCGTTTTTTTCTACCCATTTTTGTTGTTCTTGCTCTTGGGGTCGTTGTCTGTCGGTGTTTCCCTATAGGTAGTTTTGTCACTAGGTTTATTTGTACTTTGGTTCGAGAGTACATTGGAGGTTGTGTTGGTAGGTGGTCTTTCCTTTTTTTGTGGAGGTTTATATTCCTGATTTATAAACCATTGGTGATGCATTTGCAGGTAAGGAAGCAAACAAAGTAAAAATATGATAGTATGTTTTACGTAAGGGAAAAGGAAATGCACGTAGAGTTTTATTGCCCATGTTCTTAAGGGGTGTTTTGCAAGAGGTGTGGGAGTGATTTGCATTCCCAAACTGAAAGTGCAGTGAAGTGGACAAGAGAAAAGAGAGGAGTGAGAAAGGCTGGAAGGAGGGAGGGGCGGGGAGGGAGCAGTGGGGGAATGTGCTCGAGTTTAGGGGATATTTAGGCTGAGGGAAATGGCAGGAGAAAGAGAGGAGGAAAAGAGGGGGAAAAGAGGAGGAACAAGGGCGAGGGAGGGAAGGAGGGAGGAAGGTGGGTGGGGGTGTTGTAATGGAACGAGGGAAAGACGCGAAAAAAGAGAAAACGATAAAGAATTTTGTCAGATAAAGGTGCGAGGAGGAGGAGGAGGAGGAGATGGTGGAAGGGAGAAGAGAAGAGGAAGGTATTATTTATGCCGATTTGAAGAGGCGGCCAGACAATGTTGAAGAGGAGAGCGAGAGAGGAGAGGGAAGGACACGTAGGAGGAGGAGGACGAGCAGAAGAGGGGAGCGAGAGGACGGAGAGGAGCAGAGGGAAAGGGTGCAGCAGGGGAAGGGGGGGGGGGGGGGAGGAGCGAGAGGGGGAGAGGAGCGGGATGGGAAGGGTTATCAACATAACCGACGGGTAACAAGCTAGAGAGACAGAGAGGACACTTTACGACGGGAGGAGAAACAGCTGCGGGGGGGGGGGACTAGTGGGGGGGGGGGGGGGATTCGAGTGGCGGGAAGGGGGTGTTCTGTATTGTTATTCTTGTTATTGATTCCGTTATTTTTGTTTATTGGTGTTGTTTCTAGGATAGACTATGCTACCTTCGTAAGTAGAGGGAAGGATTCAGGGAGGAGAGAGAGAGAGAGAAGAGAGAGAGAGAGAGAGAGAGAGAGAGAGAGAGAGAGAGAGAGAGAGAGAGAGAGAGAGAGAGAGAGAGAGAGAGAGAGAGAGAGAGAGGGAGAGGGAGAGGGTAATCACCTTATCCACCAGAACATATACCAAAGAGAAGCTCACTTCCTCAAACACTTTCTCAGATTCCAAAGCACTTGCCTTAACATCTAAAAAAAAAAAGAAAAAAAAAAAAAAGCGATGAACCTTTGACGTCTCCTCCTCATCTCCTCATTTATTAATTTATTCATGTATTTACACGTCCTCTGATCCCTCACGCCGTCGGACGTGTCACGTTACGAGCAGCGAAAGCTTAGTGAACTTTGAAATTTGGTTTGAATGCCGTTTCATTGGCTAGTAATTAGCGCCGTGACAGGGCCGTCGATAGGGGCGAGAATTGCGTGGCGCCCTGCCCAGTAGGTGAGGTGAGGTGGTGGAGGGAGCGATGGATAGAAGGGGAGAGAGGATGGGTAGAAGGAGGAGAAACGGATGGGGAGGGGGAGAGAGGACGGATAGGAGGAAGAGATGGATAGGAGGAGGGGAGGATAAGTGGTTAGAAGGTGGAGATGAGGATAGGGAATGGGGGAGAGAAAAGAGATGGATGAATAGATGGAGGGAGAGGCAAATGGAAGAATGGAAAGGGAGTCGGTGTGGAATAGACGGATGGATAGAAGATGGACAGGGAAAGGTAAATGAAAGATGGACGGAAATATGAACGGGAACGAGAAAGGGAGAGAAGAGGAGAAGAATATAGGCCAGAAAAAGAATGAGTGATGATGAAGAAATGTGGAAAAAAAACCCAGACCGAACGGTACTTGGAAGAAGGCTCTGGAAGAGGAAGAGGAAGAGAGGGAGTGGAAGAGATTGAGATTGCAGCGCGATGTTGGCGCGCGCCGCCGCCGCCGCCGCCGCCGCTTATCGGATGCAGGAATCGAGGAAACCCCGATAAGCCGTCTCGAGACATTCCGTATATTTTTGCGTCCTTATCTCTTATCAGATTTCCGCCACGAAATCAGCCCGTTTGAGTCATCGCTTTGGGCCGGATGGGGGGGGAGGTAGCGGGAGGGGTGATGGAAAATTGTGACATTTCCTCCTCTGCTGACGCGCGCGCGGGCATGACGGAATGACAATCGGGAGGCACGTGACGAGGCCGGCGCTGCGGACCCCTGCTGCGCCCTGCCCTCCTCGGCCTGCCCTCTCTTTTCCCTCTCCTTTCTCTTTTCTTCTTCTTCAGTCTTCTCTTCCTTCTCCTTTTCCCCTCTTTCCTTCCTTCTCCTTTTCCCTTCTCTCCTCCCTCTCTTTTCCTCTCCTCTCCCTCTCATTTTTCCTTGCCCCTATTGTTTTTATTGTATTCCTCAGCCATTCTCTTCCGTCTCCCTTCTCTCTCTCTTTTTCTCTTTCCTTTGCCCTGTCCTTCTCCGTTAGTTCTCTTTTCAATCTTTTCTTCTCCTTCTCAGCATCTCCCTTTTTTCCCTTCCCCCACTCTCGTCTTCTCTTCCTCGTTTCGCTCTTTCTCCCCCTTCCCTCTCTCCCTTCCTTCCCCTCCTTCTCTCCCACTCTTTCCCTCCTTCTCCTCCCCCCCCTCATCCCTTCCTCAGTGCGCCGCGCCCCTCCACACGCACCTTGCGCCCGAGAAAAAGGGGGGGGGAGGTATTAGTGGGTGGAGGGAGAGGAGGGAGGGAAGGGGGGGTAATTGGGAGGCAGTTTCTCTTAAGTGGAATCAAGTACTTGCGAGTGGTGGCTGCTGCATGTTAGAATGGTTTTATTCACTTGGCTTGGGAGCTGAGGTGTGCGGGATTTTATTCATTATTATTTTTTTCTCGCTTTCCGTTTTCCGTTTGTTAGTATATTTATATTTTTTGAATGGATTTTTTTTTTTTTTTTTTTTTTTTTAATGAGTTGCTCTCTCGAGATCGGGGTCGTACAATCCGGTCTCGGCGCGCGTATTTCTCCCTCTCCTTTCGGCATGTAAACACGGAGGATAAGGGAGAGGGGAGAGGGGAGGGGGTGGGAAAGCGGGGAGAGGGGAGAGGGGAGAGCTGCCACGATGATCTCTTGCACGGGATTCTCGGCCTTGTGAGTGGGGGCCATAAGGTCAAGAGCCGGGTCGGGCCGGCGCGAGGGAGAGGGGAAGCTCGAGAGCGTCTGGGGAGGGAGGGGAAGGAGGAGAGGAGGGCAGGGGGTGGGGATCGTTGAGAGCGCCCGGGGGTCGTGTTGACTGAGGGGAAATGGGAGTCCCCGCGGCCTACTGGGAGAGAGCCGCGAGCGAGACGGCCCCCCTCGCTTCCTCTCGCCGCCCTCGCCTCGCCTCGCCTCGCCTCGGCTCAGCTCGCCTCGGCTCAGCTCCGCCAGGCCTACTTCCTTCGCTCGCTCGCTCTCGAGGCCCACCGGGTCGCCTCGGGAAGGGCTGGAAGGGTGAAAGGGTGGAGGGGGGAGGGAGGAAGGAGGGTGCCGCCAGTGCCACGCGAGAGGCGTCAAGCGCGGGATAGACGCCGCGGGTAGGCAGAAGGAGGGGTAGTAGAGTCAGAGACAGAGAGAGGAGAGAGAGAAGAGAGAGAGAGAGAAGAGAGAGAGAGAGAGAGAGAGAGAGAGAGAGAGAGAGAGAGAGAGAGAGAGAGAGAGAGAGAGAGAGAGAGAGAGAGAGAGAGAGAGAGAGAGAGAGAGAGAGAGAGAGATAGGGAAGAAGCAAGGGAGCCGAGGCGAAGGAGGTCAGCGCGACACCCGATCCCACATCTGTCTGTGCGTCTGTCCGCGCGTGGTAAGCGGTCCCAGAGACGGTCTTCGCGAGGCGTGGGATCGCCGCGTCGCGCTCTCCCTCGGCCGACAGATGGCGGTGGTTCCTTCCTCCTCCTCCTCGGCTGGCCCTCTGTGACGGGAATGGGGGGGGGGGGGGGGTTCAGCGGGGAAATGTATCGCTTGTATGGAGGGTATAGCGCCCATGCAGCGGGGGGGGGGGGGGTGCACACGTTCGCGTCAGTAATAAACATAAGTCTTTGATAATATTAGGATTCACAAATAGCGTAAATTTAATCTGCTTATACCAGAGGAAGTGTATACACGTCCGTACTCGCTGAAATAGTATTTGCAGGTGCTATGGGCTTCTAGATCCCGCACTCTGTGTAATGGGGGTTGAAATACTACCTGCTATAGTATAGATGTAGATACATCACCTTTTATTATAGGCATAAAAATAGCACCGTCTGTTGTATAAGCGTAGAAATATCACTCTCTATATTATCAGCGTAGAAGTACCGCCCTCCGCCGTATGGACGTAGGAATACCTCCTTCTGTGTTATAGACTCCGCACTTTCGCTCTCCTTACGCCGAAGAATGTATTAATGAAATGCGCGAGGCCCATTTCCGATGTAAATATAGCCATCCCCGGGGACGCAGCCATGCAGAGGTGCCAATAGAGCGACGCATCCCGCGCGGCTCCTCCCCGGCCCCCTACAGCGCCCACGGGACCCAAAATACAGCGCGTGGGCGCCGCCGCTGCCGCCGAGGTTACGTACGCACGTCGTGGCGGCGGCGGCGGTGGTGGTTCGCGCCGCCACGTGGAACGCCCGTGCGGTGGAGTGGACTGTGGAAGCCAAGCCACCGCCGGCGGGCTCCCTTCCTCCCTGTCTACCTGTGTGTCTACCTGTATATCCGCCTGTGTCTGCCTCTCTATCCACCTGTCTCTTCTTGTACGAGTATATTTGTGTATACGTTTGTATGGACTTGTTTGTATATCGTGTGTGTATATACAGTCTTATTTGCTAGCGTGGCTGTATCTACCTCTTTACGTCTACATGTATGTATCATAGGTATGTCTACATGTACGGGTATCATATCCATCCGCGTGTAGATATTTGATGGCCGCTGTATGTGTCTACATCCATAGCCCTGTCCCTGTGTGCACGGAGTGTAGCTGTGGCCTTGTCCCAGCGACCAATACACCCGCGCGGCTGCTGTTGCTGCTGCTGGCGGAGAAGAGGTTTGGGGAGCCAGGTCCTGAGGGCAGCTTCCCTTGGGACTCGGCGCAGGACTCGGGGCTGTGGCTGGCCTCAAGGGCGGGAGAGGAGGGAGGAGGGGGAGGAGAGGAGGAGGGAGGAGAGGAGGAGGGAGGAGGGAGGAGCATTTCTTTGCTGGAGAGGTGGAGGGAGGATGGTGGTGTGGTGTGTGGATGAGGATGAGGATGATGGTGATGAGGATGATGATGATGATGGTGATGAGGATGATGATGATGATGGTGATGATGATG